AAGCTGGCCCACTTGGCATTTTGAAGCTGACCAACGGTCATATTTTCAAATACATGCTGTTAAAAAAAAAAAAAAAAAATTCCAACAGCTTATTTTTATTTAACTTTATTTATAATTATTGTTTATTTTTTTTTATGACTCCAATGAAGTAAAAGTAAAATAAAAATGGAATACAATTATGGCAATGGCTTCAAAGAAGGGTTCGAATTATTCCGGGCATACGTATGGTGTTGTACTTGTTTTTATTTTTAAGTGAAATTCTATTATGTTTTGGAATTTTAATTTTTTTAGGTTAAAACGTTTAGAAAATTAAATCACAAATGTTGAAACAAAAATAATATCAAGAAAAATTAACTAGAAAAAAAATTTAAAGGTTAATCATTCTTAAACAATTTAATAAAGTTGCGGACTAAAATTATGAGTCTGCAAGGTTGGAGGAAAAAAAAAATTTGAGTCCTGAAAATACATGAATAGTTGTATTTTGGAGGGTGAAAATTTGAGTTTAGCCCCAACATGGTTGGAGATAGCCTAACATGCATCAGTCACAGATTTGGAACTTTGAAATTGATTAGGATTTCTTTTTCCTATCAAAATTCAGAGATTAGGGAGATTGAGCTTACTTATTAAGCAAACATGATTGCTGAATGAGGCTAGAAAATATAGAGATCATAGTATCATAGTTTTAAATTGTTCATTGCTGCATATTGTCACTAACTAATTCATTTTATTTATATGGTTCTCAGAATTCTCATATGTGTGGCAGCACATTTGTGATTGTGAGAGTTCTGCTCTTTGTGCAGACAATATGCAGGGGATGAAATCAATGATGTTTCGGCTACAATTCAAAATTGACAACGCCTGTATTGGTGACAAGGCACAGAAACAAAGTGAAATGACTCGGAATGAACAATTTCATGCATCATGTAAAAGAAGCCATTGATAGGAATGAGTTTCTCAAATCCCAGTAAATAGGCTTTCGGGAAGAGCAGCTGGGGCTTCAAAGGGTGCCATATTGCAGAGTTGTATTGTTGGTTGCCTATAAAGAAATAAAAAGCATGGTAAAGAGTGTTGCTATCCACACTCGATACACAAGTTCTCAACTTTTGGACCATTAATTTTTGGGTATACCGGTGATTTACCCCCTGAACTTGAACCTCACTTTCAATTAGCCCCCTATCCTTTTTTTTTAGAAAATTAAGGATATGAACTATTTTTTTTCGCCAATTCCCCCCTGCCGTCTAAATTCGCAACATTTTATCCAATTTGCCGTTAAATATGAGGGTAAAATAGTCATTTTGTACGTTAAAAATAAATAAAAAATGAAAAATAAAATAAATAATGGAAAATTGAAATAATAGTCTTAAAATAAAAACTGAAAACTCTCTCTCTCTCTCTCTCTCTCTTCCTTCTTCTTCCTCTTCTTCTTCTTCTTTTCTCTTCCCTCTGTCTCAGTCTTCTTCTTCTTTTCTCTTCCCTCTGTCTCAGTCTTCTTCTCTGTGTCTATTTGTCGTGAAGTCGTCGCCGTCGTCGAGCCTAGATCTTGCAGCCGCCGTCATCGAGCCTTTATCTCTCCCTTGCTTCTTCTCCTTTGGCTAAACCCAAAACCGTGGGACTTGGGGGCAAGGGTTAGGGATGGGTTTCGGCTAGGGCTTGGAATAGATCTCGCATGGGGATGGATTTCGGCTCAGGTTAAGGTTTAGGGTTGTTGAAGGAGATATATATAGATGGGGGAGGGGGTTTGGCAATGGGGTTGCTGGGGGAGGGGAGTGGCGACAGGTTTGGTTCATTCTTTTTTTTTTTTTTTTTTTTTTTTTTTTTTGTTGTTGTCAATTTTCCTATGGGGTTTGTGGGTTTTTGGGGGGGGGGGG